GGGACCAAGAGAACACAAAGTCAGCATCCAATTCAGCTCCAGCCCTGTGCGCTCCTGCAAGGCACCAACACGCAACCTTGTGCACGGACGCCCTTGGCAGTGCGAGGGTAAAGGACGCTTTTCCCAGCAATCTCAGCCCACAGGCAACTTTGTCAGGAAGCCCTTCCGTGCCTGCGGGGAGGCCACACACGGCCGCCAAGTCCTGGCTGCCCAGGTTCTGAGAACTCTTGGGCCAACGCCTGGTGGAAAGATGTGCAGTGGCTTCAAGCGCACCCTCCTTCGGGGGCCACAATCGCCATGTGAGGACAGCTGCCCGTGGGAGGGCGTGAGGAGCCAGGAACGTGACTCATCTACCACACAGCAGTCGCCGAGCTGAGTCCTGTACCCAGAAGGCAGCTTCCGAGGGCCCGCTGCTTCCCAGCGAGGAAGCTTCTGATCTGTTTCACGGTGCATTTTTAGTAGGGAACCGAGAGAGGAGCAGGTGCCCACTCGTCACATTCCATCCACAGGCAGCCACTGCTGGAGCCGTGGTCTCTCTCCTCCTGGGCTTTTTTCTGTGCACCTCCTTTGCTTAGCTGAGACCTCCCTGTAAACACGGCAGCTTGCTCTTCTCTTTCAACATAACACCAGAGGCAGCAGCAATGCACCGCAAGCGTCATTTGAATGGCGGCTGCATCATATTTCCTGGCTGGATAATAATCTGCTAGCGACTGAATGCCTGTATTCTACCCCCAAACTTGTGTGTTGAATCCTAGCCTGCAGTACGATGGCTTTAGAAGGCAGGGACTCTGTGGTGGTGGTGGTGGGGTGATTGGGTCCTAGGGGTGGCACTCTCATGGACGGGAAGAGTGCCCTTATAAAAGAGGGCCCACTGCCCTTCTCTCTCAGAGCCACCGAGATGCACCCATGTCCCACTGAAGACATGCACCTGCTCTGCTCCTGTCTGTGTGAGGATATGGCGAGAAGGCACCACCACGACCCAGGAAGCAGCCGCCGGCAGCCACAGGGTCCGCCGGCACCTTGACTTCGGACTTCTCAACCTCCAGAACCATGAGAAAAAGTCTGCCATGTGTGCCACCTGCCACATCCTCCTACCGAATATAATGCCATAATGCTTTACACTATGAGCATTTTCCCTGCTTCCAGGGCCTCCCTCCAGGACCCTTGAAGGGTGTCTTTGCTGCACATGGGAAGCACAGATCCTAGGATGAGCTCAGGATGAGTGTGGCCAGGACAGAGTTAACCATCCCTCCCCTAGCCTGGCATGTGTGCAAACATATGGAGGCCCTTTGCCTCTGATTAATCATATTAAAGATAAACCGTTCACAACAGACCATCTGGAAAGCAATTCGGACGTACAGGAGAAGCACAATTACCTGCTACATGTCAAAGAAAATGAGGCCCTGTGTCCAGACCCAATTAATTCCAGAACAGCAAAGAAATCAATAGAAAATGCAGCCCCTGACACGGCGCTCACCACTTGCCTCCTGGAACATCTTAATGAGATGTGGGAAATAAAGGCAGATTGTCAACAGCGCAGAGCTCCTGGGTCCTTAGATTCTAAGTCGCGGCTTCCCTTTGCATGGGAAAACAGCACTAGCTGGCTCTCAGAGAGCTGCGGCACAGCAGGCCAAGAGGAAAGATAGCCATACACTGACCACAACACCGGCCGGGTGAACCGCATCGCATGAGCTATGGACTCGGCCAAACTGTGGCCGACGCCGACCCTGTCTCCCACTCTGTTCTCGCGTGTTGTAAAGACAACGTTCTTTTGTTCCCTGCAAATACAGTTTAGCCGCTTTGATGACACACCATTTGGCTTGAGACAGTCCTGGAGCACGCTTGTTAATCAGCTCAACGGTTCCAGACAAAAGTCACGGAGGAAGCGTTTCGCGTTGAGATCACAGGCAGCCGTGAGTTCTGCAAGGTGGCGAATGCATTAATCTTCTGAAAACCGGGCTGACATGCAACACGGCTGAGCAAGGCCCTGTAACCTGGCTTGCAGTCACAGAGCGGTGTGTTTCCCTTTGAAACATGGCAGGCAAACGGACAAAAATGTGGGCCACACACAAAACCTTTCAAGAATGGAATCCTGCTTCAATCGATGGTGGCACATCCACAAGACAATTATGTGGGCAACTGAAACAAGAGGTTTCTCATGGGAAATGCATTGCTATGATTTGCTCACCACCAAATAAGGTAGATTAAATGGTGAAAAAAACACATGGAAACATCCCAAGGGTTGCCTTTACATCACGGGACATGGGGCCCTGTGGGGCCTCAACAGCCACCCTTGATGGGTGACATTCCTGAAGAGGGAAGCAGGTAGGTGTCAGCATCCCTTGGAAGAAGGCTGGGGTGGGGTGGGGTGGGGACAAATTTCGGGGCTCTCACTAGGCTGGGTAACGACTCTACCACGTCCTCATCCAGAATGAACAGAATAGGATGACCTGGCCCTCACCTCCATTAAAACCCACCCGGTCCAGGGTTCATCCCTTGACGGACAGCACGGCAACAGGGTAACCACGTGAACCTCTGGTGGGCAGGTATCTGCTGTGCTGTCGGGTGCTCTGAAAGTAAGGAGTGAAATGTCCCCCTCAAGGACTTCTGGACACAGCAGCGGTTTCCAGCCTCTGCCTAGTGTGATAGTCCTTGCAGGCCACTGGCGGGGAACTGGGGGTCCAAGAAGGGGGTGAGCCATTCCCGCCACGGACCTTTTTCTCAGCACGCCCGAGGAAAAGGCACAGCTTCTGCACCCACCGAGACTCACGCTCAGAGGTTCACTGCTAACACACCCTCCTCCAGACCCATGCGTAGAACAGAGGAGATCGGCCGGCCCCAGTCCTGCTGTGTCCACGGTTCTCTGGTCATTTCCAAGTATGTACCTCCCCATGCAGACCTACAAGAAGCTACAGGCTGGGCTGGCTGTGGTGGGTTTGTGGTTGTCTGGAGCTTGGTCCTCATCACTGTGTTGCTGGGAGGGGGAGCCTTTAAAAGGTGGGGCCTGGTGGGAAGTTATCAGGTCACTGCCCTCAGGGGGACTGACAGAAACCCCTCAGGACCTTGGTCAGTTCCTGGGAGCCGGCTGCTCCAAAGGAGCAAGCCTGGCCCCTCCCCAGGCGGCTTCCTGCCCCCACCACGTGGTCTGTCTACACCTACACACACACACACACACACACACACACACACACCAGCCCTGAGGTCCATTCGGCTTCCTGCCCCCACCACGTGGTCTGTCTACACCTACACACACACACACACACACACACACACACACACACCAGCCCTGAGGTCCATTCGGCTTCCTGCCCCCACCACGTGGTCTATCTATACCTACACACACACACACACACACACACACACCAGCCCTGAGGTCCATTAGGCTTCCTGCCCCCACTACATGGTCTACACCTACACACACACACACACATACACATAGCCCTGAGGTCCATTCGGCTTCCTGCCCCCACTACATGGTCTGTCTACACCTACACCTACACACACATACACACACACCAGCCCTGAGGTCCATTAGGCTTCCTGCCCCCACTACATGGTCTACACCTACACACACACACACACATACACACAGCCCTGAGGTCCATTCGGCTTCCTGCCCCCACTACATGGTCTGTCTACACCTACACCTACACACACATACACACACACCAGCCCTGAGGTCCATTAGGCTTCCTGGCTCCACCACGTGGTCTGTCTACACCTACACACACACACACACACACACACACACACACACCAGCCCTGAGGTCCATTCGGCTTCCTGCCCCCACCACATGGTCACATGGTCTGTCTACACCTACACACACACACACACCAGCCCTGAGGTCCATTCGGCTTCCTGCCCCCACCACGTGGTCTGTCTACACCTACACACACACACACACACACACACACACCAGCCCGGAGGTCCTCACCAGAGACCCTGGACTTTCAGCCTCCAAAACGGTGAGCAGAAGTAAACCTCTTCTCTTCCCCCATACCCGGACAGAGGCATCTGATAACAGCAACAATAAATGGACGCGCATGAGGCCGAACCAGGACTCAGCTCAAAACACACGCGGACCCTCTGCAGCTCAGGGCATGGGCTCGTCTGGAAATGGGATCATTGCAGATGTACCTGGTGAGTGCCTAGCCCGATACGACAGGGTCCTTATAAAAAGAGGGAATCTGGGATACAGACATACCAACAGGGAGAGGCTCCTGCGCTGGCAACAGCCGAGATCTACAAGCGAGGGAAGCCCACAGCTCGCCAGCGAGGCCCCAAAGGGAAGAGGCCGATGGCTCGTCCTGCTGACCCCTGGACCTGGGACCTGCCACCCCCGGATGCTGAGACGAGAGGCTTCTGGGTTGAGGCCACCAGGTTCATGAGCTAACACACCCATAGGACGACCTGTGCATACCAAAGTCAGGAGTCCTTAGGTCCACCTTCAAGGGAGTGCTCCTGCATGTGGCCAGGGGTGTTTCTTTCACCCAGCTACTCAAGCTTCCCTGCTGCTCCATGCAAATGTTTTTAAAAAAATTTATTTATTTGAGAGGTAGAGTTACAGAGAGAAAGAGGGAGAAACAGACAAAGGCCTTCCATCTGCTGGTTCACTCCCAAAATGGACACAACAGCTGGAGCCAAGCTGATCCGAAGCCAGGAGCCAGGAGCTTCCTCTAGGCCTCCCAAGTGGGTGCAGGGGCCCAAGGACTTGGGCCATCCTCTGCTGCTTTCCCAGGTGCATTAGCAGGGAGCTGGATTGGAAGTGGAGCAGCCAGGATCTGAGTCAGTGCCCATACGGATGCTGGCACTGCAGGCAGAGGCTTAGCCTACGGCCCCACAGTGCTGGACCTTAATTTAGCTCTTTCACTTCTCACATCAGCATTTTCTAACTCCCAGCACTCAGACCTTGCAAACACGGTCTTAATTATATGTATTTTTTTTTAACTTGAGGGGGTTACTGACCTAGCACAGAAACAACTGATGGGTGGACACCGACCTTGCAAACTTCAATCCTTGACTCCAGGAGCTCTCCACGGGAGCCAGAGTTCCACAGCCAATGATGCCGTCTGCAGACAGAGTTGCTTTTATCTATGCCTCTGCGACCTATATGCCCTCCACTTCCGTTCTCCGCCTTCCCGGACCAGCCAGGACTTCCTGGACAGCGTCAGGCAGGAGTGAGGAGAGCCAGGAGGCGGGGAAGCATTCAGTCTGGCTGAGTATGACGCCAGCTGCAAATCTTCGGGAAAAGCACCAGCCGAGCAGGTTTCCTTCTCCTGCTGCCTGCTCGGGGCTGTTCTCTCTCCGGAGCGGATGCTGAATTCCATCAACTGCGTCTCCCCCTCCGGAGACACTCACGTGCTTCTCCTTCCTCCCCCTGCTTAACATGAGGGCTTCACTAACTTCAGGATGTTGAAGCAGCCTGGCTTTCCTGTGCGAACGCTACTCGGTCACGAAGTGTTAGCTTGTTGATATTGCTGGATTTGTCTGTCGGGGACTTGTTACAGCTCCGCTCATGGAAGATAATAGTGTGGAATTCCCTTCGCTGGTATTATCCTTCATAAGAGTAACACCGGGCTCACTGACTGAATCTGGAAGTAGTCTTGCTGCGTCTATTTTCTGAAAAATACGATGGAGAACTGGTGCTACGTCTCCCTTAAATGTTTGGTGGAATTTATCAGTGAAGCCATCTGGGGCTGGGGTGTTCGTCTATGGAAGATTTTCATACAATAAATTCTCCATCTTTAATAGAAAAGTCAGGCTCTGGTCCTTGAATGAGTTGTGGTCATTCATTCTGTAAAACAAATTGGTCTTTTTCTTAGAGTAGAGGCGTAGGCTGCCTTGAGACCTCTCTTCTTTTCTAACATGAGAGCCTTAGAAAACCTCTTAATCACTATCTTACCTGCGATCTGGAAGACTTAGTCACTGAGTACAGAAGCCTGGATTCGTAGCTTTTTAATTTTCTTTATAGAAAGGTAAAGATTGCTCCAGCTGTCTTACGGCCGCCACAGTTCCTCATAGAAATCCAGTCACTGGAGTAACTGTTCCCCTATGACAATGTACCATCTCTAACGGGGTCTGCCTGTACGATTTGTCCTTTATCTTTGGTTTTCAGCACCTTGATTATGATACGTCCAGGCATCATTTTCTTTTGGTTTATGCTGTTGGGGACCTGTGCTTCTCCAGTCTGTAAATGGGTGTCTTTCAACAAAATTGGATGTTTTCAGGCCCTACTTCTTCAAATACTGCTTTTGCCACACGCTCGTCCTCCTGTCACTAGGGAATCCCAAGGATATAAACGTGAGCGCTCCTGGTCTTGTCCTACGAGGTCCGCTCGGCTTTGCTCGCTTCCTGACGTCATTCTTGTGTCTGCTCAATGAGACTTCTGCTCACTCAGGGCTCACAGATCCCCCCTCCCCACCACCCCTCCCCACCTCCACTGCACCCTGGAGCCCATCCAGTGAAATTTCTATTTCAGATCTGTTATTTTTTTTTTTAACAGGCAGAGTGGACAGTGAGAGAGAGAGACAAAGAGAAAGGTCTTCCTTTGCCGTTGGTTCACCCTCCAATGGCTGCCATGGCCGGCGCTCTGCGGCCGGCGCACCGTGCTGATCCAAAGGCAGGAGCCAGGTGCTTCTCCTGGTCTCCCATGGGGTGCAGGGCCCAAGCACTTGGGCCATCCTCCACTGCACTCCCAGGCCACAGCAGAGAGCTGGCCTGGAAGAGGGGCAACAGGGACAGAATCCAGAGCCCCGACCGGGACTAGAACCCGGTGTGCCGGCGCCACTAGGTGGAGGATTAGCCTAGTGAGCCGCGGCGCCGGCCCCAGATCTGTTTTTCATTCCTAAGGTTTATTTTTCTTTCATTTTCACAGTTTATATTTCTCTGCTGAGAATTTAATTCATTCAAAAATGCCTCCCCCTAGCCTCATGGAATATGGACGTTAACATCACTGCCAATTTTTGGCTAATATACACATCTCGGTCATCTCAGGGTTGACATTTGTTGATTGTGCATTCCCTTGAAAATTGATATTTTTTTTTCTTAAAAGAAAACACATTAATTGATCAACTGGAGAATTGATCAGATTTTCTTACTTCTTCATATGCTAGAAAATTTTGGATTGCATCCCAGGCATTTTAATATTTATGTTTTGAGACCCAAATGTTACTTTTCACTTGTTTATTTTGTCAGTCAGACCACAAGGTACAGCTCACCTACTTTAGGAGGCGGGTTGAATGCCAGTCCCCCTCTCAAAAGCCTGTGCTGTGCCATTTGTGTCTGCCCCTCGCGTGAGCCACATGGGGTGGAGTCTGGGACTTGAGCCATGGCTTGCACCGCCGTTCAGTTCCAAAGCCTGTGTGTCCCAGCACCCAAGTGAGGGATCCCCTTTCCCACATCTCTCCTCGGCAAGATTTCACGCACACTCTCCCGCTCCCAGAGGCTCCTATTTCTGACTCCTCTAGTCACAGGCTTGGGGGTCTCTCAGGGTTGTAGCCTCCCACCCTGATGCATAGTTTTGTGCAACTGGAGCCTCTCTGGGGACAAAGCAACAAGACAGAGAGAAGAGGGGCCAATGCCGTGGTGTAGTGGGTGAAGCCACTGCCTGCAGTGCTGGCATCCCATGTGGACATCAGTCTGAGTCCTGGCTGCTCCCCTGCTGATCCAGCTCTCTGTGCCTGGGAAAGCAGTGGAAGACGCCCAGTGCTTGGGAGAAGCTCCTGACGCCTGGCTTCAGATCAGTCCAGCTCTGGCCATTGTGACCATTTAGGGAGTGAACCAGTGGATGGAAGATCTCTCCCTCTCTCTCTCTCTCTTCCCTCTCTCCCTCTGTCTCTCCGTTACTCTGCCTTTCAAACAAAATAAACAAATCTTTTTTAAAAGTCACATCTTCAAACCTATCTTTACAGAGAGAGAGAGAGAGAAGTGAATGAGGACCTCCCTCCAATCTTTATACAACACCCAGCTCCGCCAGGCAGAGAGCTGGACTTGCCCTTGGAACTTCAGGTGCTGCTACTCTGGGTCTAGCTTCAGGCCGGGGCCAGGAGAGGAGAAAGGATCAAAAAGAACAACCCACAGCAATTCCCCTCCTCTCCAGCTCAGTCTTCCGGCCAGAGAAGACCCTCTCAGTCTTTGCTGACCCTCTCGGTCTTTGCTGACCCTCTGTCTTTGCTGACCCTGCCTACGATGCTATTGCCCCAGTAAGCAGACACTCAAATGAAAGGAGGAAGCCAAAGGTCTCAGTGCCAACACACAAGCATCTGCACTTTGACCTCCCTCCTGCTGCTGCTCCTTTTTATTCTGTCCAGAGTTTTCTGCCGTAAGCAATACAAGGGATGGGCCAGGCAGCTAACTCCATCCTCACCAACACCACACATACTCCACTGATCTGTGAAATGCACATTAAATTAAAACCTACTTATTTTTGCTCAATTCATCCGGCACATGAACTGCCAATCAGCATTTGGCTCAGCCTGACATCGCCAGCATTTTCATCGGCAGGAAAGGTCGTGTCAGGGGAAAACTCATGACCTCTACCAGTCCCAGGGTCGTGTCAGGGGAAAACTCATGACCTCTACCAGTCCCAGGGTCGTGTCAGGGGAAAACTCATGACCTCTACCAGTCCCAGGGTCGTGTCAGGGGAAAACTCATGACCTCTACCAGTCCCAGGGTCGTGTCAGGGGAAAACTCATGACCTCTACCAGTCCCAGGGTCGTGTCAGGGGAAAACTCATGACCTCTACCAGTCCCAGGGTCCTCAGTCCCAACTGCAGTTAGAATCAACCTGGGGAGTTTTAAAAAACATCAAGTCCTGGGTCACACCCAGTGCTGTGAGGTCAGAATGTCCGGGTAGGGCTCTGACACCCCTGTTTTGAACTCTCTCAGTGACTCTCAACACTCAGCCAAAGCTGGGAGGCCTAGAGCTGGATGTAACGAAACAGGAAGAGCCCACGGCTCTTCACAGAGCTCACCCCTGTCTCGCAGGGCTCACGGTTCCCCAGGGGGAAGCTCTGGGCCAGGAGCATGGGACGGAACTGAGCAGGCACGGGAGCCTCGCGTTGTGGGAAGGTTGCGAGCAGCCTCTCACCCACCAGCTGCACCTGCAGGCGTCAAGGTCTTGGCTGTGTGTAGAATTAGATGCCACCTTCTTTTTTTTTTTTTTTTTTTGACAGGCAGAGTGGACAGTAAAAGAGAGACAGAGAGAAAGATCTTCCTTTGCCGTTCGTTCACCCTCCAATGGCTGCTGCGGCCGGCGCAGTGCTTCTCCGCAGCTCCGAAGTGTCCCTCTGAGGCTAGACCAGGGGTGCTGTGGTCACGAGTGCTTGGACAAGAGCTCTGTGGAAAGCTATGGTTCCCCAACGCCCATACAAGACATAAGTCCTGGAGTTCAGAAAGTGGGGGGCAGAGGTTGTTGTCAAAGTACCGAGTGGAGACCACTGCACCAGCTGCCCTGACTGGAGCCCATGGCCCCACAGGGGCTCACCTAGAGGTATCAGCCAGAGCGTGGACCAAGCCCAAGGTGTAAGAGACCAGCACACACGGGGAAGCCCATTCCGTCCTACAGAACAGCCAAGGGACCCAACCACCCTGGCACTGGTGTCTTCTCAGTCCCACAAAGCTCTGGCTGCTCAAGCCCTCTCCCACAGGGGACAACCACAGACCCTCTCTCCTGCATGGCCCCCACCCCAGCCTGACACAGCCCAGGAGACACCTGCCCATGGCAAATGGCCAAACTGTGGTCTCACAATCATTCAGCCTGCAGCAACTCACCAGGCCTGACCCCTGGAACACTATTTAACTTGATGTCCACTGTGCCTGCCTGCCCTCCTACCCAGTCCATAAGCCAACAGGGGCAGGGAGGGGCTGGGTCTCCTATGTAGGCATTGGTGTCTAGTAAAAGGGGTTCGACAACAGTGGCTGAAAGGGTGCAACTGAAATCCAAAATGCCTAAGCGGAACTCCCCAAATGGGCACATCACAAGATATTCCACCACTTTGTCCAACGATTATCTTCCGAATCTCAGATCTCCTACAGGATGCCGTTAAGTAGCCAGGTTCTCCTGAGTTACGTTCAAGGGTTTTATACACAACTTGTGGACACATGTTGCCCCCACGGGGAAGTTCAGCGAGGAGTGTGGCAAGAGAGGTGCAGGAGCCACCTGCTGTTCTCACTGCGTCCCACGTCTCCCAGTGGGGTCTCGGGCCCATGGGCGGGGTCACAGCTGGCTCCACTGCACATCTTGGCAGTCTAAGCTTGCAGAGGCGTAGCACCCACAGTCCCGAGAGCTGCTTCCCAGGCCCCCCCCCCCAGCTCAGCAGGGCTGACCCCACCAACCCCCCACCAGCATCCCCACGGCCACTGGAGAGATTCACTTAGTTCTACAGACATGTTCCTTCCCCCAGGGAATGGGATTCTGATCCTCCCTGAAGGAGCCACGGTGGCGGGAGAGCCCTTTGTCCCCTAAGTCACAGTCCCTGCCCCTGGAAAGTCTGGGAACGGGAGGGACTTTGGGTACTTTCAAATTCAGGCTCTAGGCCAGTGCCGCGGCTCAATAAGCTAATCCTCCGCCTTGCGGCGCCGGCACACCGGGTTCTAGTCCTGGTCGGGGCACCAGATTCTGTCCCGGTTGTTCCTCTTCCTGTCCAGCTCTCTGCTGTGGCCCGGGAGTGCAGTGGAGGATGGCCCAAGTGCTTGGGCCCTGCACCCACATGGGAGACCAGGAGAAGCACCTGGCTCCTAGCT